GCTTTTCCTTACTCATTGTGAAATTCCCTCCTACATTTTCTGAGACTAACCCATTTCAGAGGATAAATCATTGGAAATAGAACATCAGAGAAGAGAAAGGAGAACAAAAAGAGCAGGTTTAGAATTTACTGATTGTGTAGTGGTTTTTCTAACTCTTGACTACAGGAAAATGGGAGAATTGCTATTGAGCCCTCCTGTTGTCATGTTTTCTATGCAAAATGTATTGAGCTGTAAGAATTTCAAGAGCAAAGACAGAACCAGAGGTGGAATTCTTGAAAAGTGCACAATTAAGGTACGGATTCTTATAGTTAATGCCTTTGCCTTGGCAGATGAGAAATCTAGGCAGTTTTCTAAAAATCTAAGCAGTTTACATATTTGAAACCTTCACTGATAGATCTTAATGTTCTTATTTATTACATGGTTGGTAATTCTTTGGTTTTTAAAATAAAACATAGATCCTTTAATAGGTTCACTTAAAATAAGTTTTATATTAATGGAGACAAAGGGTGTTGAGCTCTGGTTTTTATTATTATTTTTGAATCAAAAGAAAACTAGAATGCATCCTAGCACTAAATATAAAAGATGTAACTATAACACATCTAGACAAAAGCATAGGAGATAATCTTCATGACGTTGGGGTAGGCAAAATTTTCACAGAAGACAAAAATAGCTAATAGCAAAACTTAAAAAATAATAAATTGGATCTTACTAAAATGAAAACACTGATCTTCAGAGACATTCATAAGTAAAACAAAAATTAAGCCTTGAATTGGGAGGCAATTTTTAATAATCTGTGTACCTGACAAAGAATTTTATCCATAGTACATAAACTGAGTCATAAGAAGAGAAACAACCCAATTAAAAATAAGCAGAAGATTTTAGCATATACTTCACAAAAGAAAATATATGAGCTAGGCATGGTGGCATATACCTGTAATCCCAGTTACTCTGGAGACTGAGGCAGGAGGGTTGGTTGAGCCCTGGAGTTTCAGATCAGCCTGTGCAATATAGTGAGAACTCTCAAAAAATAAAAAGATATATGAAAGCTGGTAAGCACATACAAAGATGTGCAACATTATTAGTCATCAAGAAAATGTAATTTAGAACCATATGATAGACAACTATACACACACCAGAATGGCTACAATAAAAAGAATAAGCAAGTATTAGCAAGAATGCAACTGGAACTCTCATGTGTTGTTGATGGGAATGTAAAATACTCTAGTATTTATAAAGTTAAACAAATATACACTTGCTATTAGATCCAGTCATTCCACTTCTAGTTATTTACCCAGGAGAAATGAAACCATATGATGGCATACAAAGACTCATACATGAATATTCATATTAGCTTTATTTGTAATAGTCCAAAACTTGTAGTGACTCAATGTCCAAGAACAGGTAAATGAATAAACAAAATATAATACCACTTATATAACTTAGATAACAAAAGACTACTACTCACCAATAAAAATAAACTGATAAGAAGAACTGCATGGATAAATATAAAAAATTATGCTGAGGAATTTAAAGAAGCCAGATGACAAAATAATATTCATTTTTTGCTTTCACTTAAATAAAATTTAGAACAGACAAAACTATAGTGATAAAAAGCAAAATAATGGTTGCCTGGGACTGGGGACCAGAGCAAGAGGCCAAGGGAACTTTTTAGGGTGATGGAAATGTTCTGTTACTTATAACAATGGTCATATAGGGCTGAATTCATTTGTCAACATGGCATTAAACTTATACTTAAAATGAGTGTTTTTTATTGTATCGTATAGGTAATAATTGTTATAGAAGTTTGGAGATGAGAGAGGTCATTATGGGCTGGCAGTGTAGAATGTACAAATGTCAGTTCTGGCTGAACACTATGAAAAGCTGCTGAAGGCAGTAGGAGGATCACACTGGCTTCGGAGTCAGATAATCCAACTTTGAGGATGCTTCCTCTTGTCTGAATTTTAGTACAGATTGAAACAGGCTGAAAGATGTTTCTTTGTATGATAAAGGTCAGAGAGTAATCAGGAACCAGATAAAAAGAGAACTCATTGTGTATAGTCAAAAGGCAACTTAAAAAAATCTTTCTATTAAGCTGCAAACAGACTCTTACTGGATGCTCAAAGAATGTTTGGCACTAAGCTGCTTTGAAATGCTATCAGAGGCTTCTCAGTCTAAGAAAGGCTTCAGAGTAGATCTGAGAATTTCTTTCCCTTTGGCCAGAGAAAAGGCCAGAGATAGTCTCAAAGCCTAACGTTAAAACTAATAGTGTATGCTGCTGTTTTTGCTTCTTTGACTTTTCCCCAAAATGGTGTGTAAATTTCAATATAATTTACAGATGTATAATTTTTTAATTTTTACTGCATACTTTCTCTATTTGGAGCATAAGATGCTCAGATTATCTCAGTTCTCCACTGGAAAGCCACTTTTTGGTCTCTCTTATTTATTTAACTTTTTATTTTGAGATCAAGATAAATATGCAATTACAAGAAATAATACAGAAAGATTCTGTATATCCATCACCCAGTTTCTCCCAATGCTAATATCATCTTGCATAACTATAGTATAATATCACAACTGGAAAATTGACATTGATTACGATCTATTTACCTTATTCAAATTTTACCAGTTTTACATGCATTCATTTGAGTATGTATATATGTTTAATTCTATGCAATTTTATCACATGTGTAGATTCATGTGACTACCAACAGAGTCAAGATACAGAATAGTCCCATCACCATAAGGGTCCCTTATGCTGCCCTTATAAAACTGCACTCTTCCAGCCCTCTCACCCTTACAGTATATAACCCCTGAAAACCACTAATCATTTTCCCACTTCTGTAATTTTATCATTTAATAAATATTGCAGAAATTGAATCATACAGTATATAACCTTTTGGAATTGGGGCTTTTAAAAATTTCATTTAGCACAATTCCCTGGAGATGCATCCAAGTTATTTTGTGTGTGAATAGCTCATTCCTTTTTATTGCTGAGTTCTACTTCATGGTAGATATAGATGCACCACAGTTTGTTTAACCATTCACCCATGGTAGGACATCTGAGATGGTTCCAATTTTTGGCTACTATGAAAAATGCTATTATGAACATTCATGTATAGGTTTTAATGTAAACATGAATTTTTATTTCTCCAGGATAAATGCTGATGAGTAGAACTGCTGGGATGTATGGTAATTCCATGCTTTGTTTTTAGAATACTGTGAAAAGGTTTCCCAGTGTGACTGTACCTCTTTACATTTTTTTTACTAGCAATGCATGAGTGATTCGATTCCTTTACATCCTGGCCAATATTTGGTGGTGTTACTATTTTTTAAACATTTTCACCATTCTGATTGGAACATAGTGATAGCTAATTGTTGCTTAATTCACATTTCCCTAATGGTTTATGAAGTTGAAATCTTTTTACATGCATTTTTGCTATCTGTACATCCTCTTCAGTAACATGTTTGCTCATATCAATTTTCTAGTTGAATTATTTTGCTTTTACTACTGAGTATTGAAAATTCTTTATATTCTAGATACTAGTCCTTTGTCAATTATGTGGCTTGCAAATATTTTCTTTCAGTCTGTACATTTTTTATCCTCTTAACAGTGCATTTTGCAGAACAGAAGTTTTTAATTTTAATGAGGTCTAATTTATCAACTTTTCCTTTAATGAATTATGCTTTTGATATCATCTAAGAATTATTTGTCTAGTCCTAGATCCTGAAGACTTTCTTCTATTGTTGTGAAATGTTTTATATTTTACATTTAAGTCTATTATCAATTTTGGATTAATTTTTGTATAAGATGTGAGGTTAAGGTTGATGTTCTCTTTTTCTTTTTGCCTATGGGTGCTCGCTGCTCCAGCACAACTTACTGCAAGGCTATCCTTCCTTCACTGAATTACTTTTGCACTTTTGTTACAAATTGATTGGAAAACAATCAGTTGGAAATACTTATATGGGACTATTTCAGTGTTTTCTATTCTGTTCCATTGATCTTTGTCCATGCCTTGGCAAATAGCACACAGTCTTGATTACTGTTACTGTATTATAAACCTTAATATCAGGTAGACTGATTCCTCTCACTTTATTCTTCTTTTTAGATTATCTTAGATATTTTTAGGGTTTGTGCTTTTCATATAAATTTTAGAATAGTCTAGCCAATGCCTACTAAAAACTTCCTTGAATTTTGATAAGAATTGTCTTATACATACAGATTACTTTGAGGCAAACTGACATTTTTACTATGCTGTCTTCCAATTTGTGACTATAGTATGTCTCTCTGTTTATTTGTCATCACTGATTTCTTTCATCAGCATGTGCAATTTTCAGCATCAGATAGTATACATCTTTTTTGCTAAGTTTATACCTCAGTATTTCATTTTCCTTGGGTTGATTGTAAATGTGTTTTAATTTTGGTTTTCGTATGTTTATTGTTACTACAGTAATTCTCACATAATGCCATTGCTAGGTTCTTAGAAACTGTAATTTTAAGTGACATGATGTATGGCAGGTCCTGAAATAATGTAGTTTTGCTCAACATCACTTTGTTATAACTTTGATGATGAAAAATTGGGTTTAGTTTTATGTTGTTTTGCTTAAAGTCAGTTTCCAAGAACCTATTGATGATATTAAGAGAGAGAGGACTTACTGTATATAGAAATGACATTGGTTTCCATCTTGATCTTATATCCTGTGATCTTGCTGAAATCACTTCTTAGGTTCTTGGAGTTTTATTGTTGTATAATCCATGGAATTTGCTAAATAGACAATCATGTCATCTGCACATAAGGACCATTTTAATTCTTCCTTTTGAAACTGTGTGCTTTTTATTTTTTTTTCTTTTTCTGTTTCCAACCTGCCCCCATTTCAGTGGCTAGAACTTCTAGTATTATGTTGAATAGGAGTGGTGAGAACTGAATCTTTGCCTTGTTCCGTATCTTAGAGAAAAGCATTCTGTCTTTCAGCATTAAGAATGACAGCTGTAGGTTTTTTTTAAAAATGAACTTTATTTTTTACAGCAAGTTTAGGCTCACAGAAAATTGAGTAGAAGGTACAGAAATTGCTCACATATCTCCTTTCCCCACACATGTATAGCTTCCCTCCTTATCAACATTCACCACCAGAGTGGTACATTTGTTATAATTGATGAAAATACTCAAGGTTTTTAAAGATACTCTTCATTAAGTTGAAGTAATTCCTATCTATTCCTAACTTGTTGAGAGTTTTTAATTACAAACGAATATTGGATTTTATCAAGTGCTTTCTCTGCATTAATTGATATAATCATCTTCTTTAGCCTGCCAATTCTTCCTCCTCATCCTATTAATTTCGGGGCTTATGATGATGAGGTTTGCTATGAAAATTGAGTCTTGGTGGAAAGCCAGGTGTCAGTCATGAAGTATTATAAATGAAATTCAAAGGAATGGATTCATAATATATAGTACAGGAATTCCCTACTGTACATTAAAATTGAGTGGCAGTCAGTGGAATTAAGTATGAATTCCTAATAAATAATAGTACAGAAAAGGATGCATGTATGTTGCATTCTGGAGCAAAGAGGAATGTATTGCCTAATGAGAAACAAAAGCCACTGTTTTCTAGGATTCACTGTGCCTTAAGCATAGTGACCTCATTTCAATAACGAGTACTGCATAATAATACTTCTTCAACTTTACAGGGACCTACAATCTTTTAATTCTATCTCATTTCCACTATTTTTTACCTTCCACCCCTCTTATCCCTATTTTCCTTCAAATTCAGTTTTGATCATGGTCCATGTTTATAATTGTTCCCCTGCCAATATCCTTTATCTCCCTTGTCCCACTCTTCTCTGGTTGTAGTTGCTTGATCCTCAATCCTATTAAATCCACCTCTCCAACTACTCCAGGCCTGCACACACATGCAAAAATTGGCTTTAGAGAAAGTTCAAATTTGTGACCACCAATATCATATGAGCATTTATGCCCAACAATCCTAAGGGCCAGCATTTTCATTATCTATGTTCTACTTACGCATCCCCTTGGATTAGTATATCCTTTTCATTTTTTCTCTTCAAACCTTTGACACCTTCTTCTTCATCTTCACTCAGCTGATTTTTGCTTCCCACTTTATTGAGAAAATAGAAACAATGGAAAAGAAAAGAATGTTCACAAACATCCACTACCACAGGTACCCATCTTCCTACTGGTTCCTACAGATGAATTGCCTGACCTCAAACAAAGATGCTTTTCTTCTAGAACCCATCCCCTCTCACCTGTTATAGGACAAGATTCCAACAAATCCCTTTCTTTCTTGCATCAAGATTTTCCCCATTAGTAGATCACTTCTATTAGCATACAAACATACTATAATTAACTCTCCCCCCATCCAAAAGTGATGTCCCTTTCTCTATCACTCTTTAAAGAAAAGCCCCTGGAAATACTTGTCTGTACTTTCCACGTACTACTGCTCTTTTTCCATTCACTCTTGAACCTTCTTCAGTTAGGTATTTTCCTCCAACATTCCAACACTGAGCCTGTTCATGTGAGGGTCACTAATGACTTGCACAATGCCAAAGATAATGATCACTTCTTGGACCACATATTCTTGACTATTCACAATACTGACAGAAAAATCTTGATCTTCCCCTCAAATTTGCCCCTCCCTAAGCTTTCGCCATCTTAATAAATTGGGAAGTGGTGTCACCAATAACCAATCCCAAGAGAGGACTTCCACTCTGTGGAGGACAGCAGAGATTATCATCACTGCGTCAACCACAGGGAACAGGAGTCTGAACACTTCTGTTCACTGCGTCCTTGGCTGCAGTGTTACCAATTCCCTGAGTCTGAGACAGAACACACTCATATGCAACACATTATATGCAGCAAGTTAATTACTTACAGATAAGCAGCAAGAAACAAAAGAAGCCTGTGATCCATTGTGAATAGGTTCCCCAAGGTTTGACAAAACTGCCTTGAACAGATGGAGTCTTGATTGTGCTTGCTTCTGTTGCACCACAGCTGAGGAACCTGGAGAGGCAGCCTGCCACCACAGGGGTAGTGTGACTCAATGGATAAGCTTTGGAGGTGATCTTCCTTCCCAGGAGAGAGGAACAATCCCAGGGCTGTCCCAGGCAGTTCCTCTTTAACTTGAGATGTTACATTCCCTAGGAAGTACAGGAATAAGGTCCAGGCTGTTTCAGGCAGTTCCTCCTTATCTCAGGACATTGCATTCCCAGCACATTCTACAGTTATTCTTGGTAACTATAAACAAGAAAGGGGGAGAATTGGGTGGGTCCAGGGCCATTTGGGGAACTATCCTGCGATAATGTCAACTTCATCCATCTAGCTGCTCAGATCAAACATCCTGGTATCAACCTTGAGGTTTCTCACCTACACGCCATGTATAATCCTTCACCAAAACTCAATCACTTCTCACAACCCCTCTACTACCACCCTTATCCAAGCTACAATCATCTCTTGCATGGATTATTTCAATTACCCTCTTTTTTATCTTTCAGTGAATTTTCATCAAATCTACTAGAAGGACTTTTCTGAAACCTACAATAGGTGGTGTAATTCCTCAGGTCAAAAGTTGACCATCCATCAACTTTCATGGCTCTTTCCAATTGAAAGTCAACATTTATCAGTTGCTTTCTATCATTTAGTAGAAGTCAAAGTACTTACAATAGCCTACAAAACCTTATCCAGTCTTGGCTCCCCATTATTTTTCCAACCCTACCTACTTTTCCTTTTTTCCCATCTTACTCCACTCTGGCCACCTAGACCTGCTTGCCATATCTCAGATACCAGTGACATTCCTGTATCAATTCCTTTGCTTTTGTTGTTCCCTCTTCCCCAGATATCAACATATCACTTCCTACAGATCCTTGTTCAAATTTGAGGGCTTCCCTAATTATCATATTTAGTATTGTAACCCTTCTTCCTGGGCCCAGCACTCCTTATCTCCTTGTTCTTCTCCCTATCTATTTTACTTCATTTTTAAAATATTTGTCTGTTTCCCCTATTACAATGCAAATTCCACAAGATTAATAGTTTTAATCTGTTTTGTTCACTATGCCAAAAACAGTACCTGGCACACAGTTGTTGCTTAATAAATATTTATTGAATAAATGAATGAATGAATGAATGAATAGCAGAGATGACAACCTCCTTTGGACAAGTTTCCAAAGAGAAACCTTGTGGTCTAATACTTGCATTAGTTACCATGTTGAAAAGAGATTGCTGTAAATTGGGGAACACATCTGAGCCCCTTCCTGTGGTACACAGAATATCTAAAGGAGAGCTGCAGTCCTGTGAGAGATGTGGAGAAGATCCTGGGCCAGAAGAACAGACCCAGGCTCTCATCAGCACAGAGATGAAGCTTACTGAGAATGGCTCCACTGGTGAAAGCAAACAGCACTCATACCAGCTATGCCTGAACATGGCATCATGTGAAATGACTAGTTAAGTGCAGTATGCAGTTCTAGTTCCAATAGTTTTTTATTGTGGGAATCTCAGAGGGAATTATGACATTGGGAACCATTTTCATGAGGCCACAAATAGTGCTGCGAAGTGGCTTAATTTTTTAAATCATCTTTGTTGTAATTGTTGTCATCTTTATGATTATCCTTTCATAATTATTGGAGTGATTATGAGGAGAAAAGCACCAGGCTATCTAATACGAGTTGAACATCCTTAATCCAAAAATCTGAAATCTGACGCTCCAAAATCCAAGACTATTTGAATGCCAACATGATGCACTCCAGGTCACAAGTGTAAAATTCCACACCTGACTTTAGGTAATGGGTCACAGTCAAAACAGTCAAAACTTTGTTTCATGCACAAAACTATTAAAAAATTATATTAAATTACCTTCAGGCTATGGTGTTTAAAGGGCATATAAAACATAAATGAATTTTGTGTTTAGACTTGGGTCCCACCCCTAAGATATCTCACTATGTATATGCAAATATTCCAGAATTTGAAATCCAAAACACTTCTTGACCCAAGCATTTAGAATAAGGGATTTTTGACATTTCCCAAGTTTCTGTGAGTTAGATTCAGGCAAGAGAGCTAAAATATCTCTCCCAATATAACTTGGGGTCATTGTTTCGCAGATGCTTTAGATGGATGAATATTGCCGGAGATTTTAGACAATCTGGTGGTTACTGTCTTCTTTCTACCTCCCCTTTTATTACTAAAGAATGGTAGTCAAGGTAATTTGAATTTAGATCTTCTAAAGCTCTTTCTCTTTTAATAACTTCACACATTCCTGACAAGTGCTGTTTGGAGTGGCAGACTGTTACAAAGCCCTGACTTAATGCAGAGGAAGATGGTTGAGAAAATAAAAAAAGTTTAAAAAGGGGAACGTTTACACCCTGATTTTCTTTCATGTTTCAGGTGAGGAGTTTGAATACTTTAGATTATAGGGGCAAGAAAATTTGCTGGAGGTCCACTTCTCTTTAATAAATTTTAAGAACAGTTTAAATCTCTGGTCCAAAGAAGGGGAAAATAGTGATGAAGAGGAAGAGGGAGGAGAGACAGCTGGGTAGAAGATGAGGGTGCAGAAGGGTAAATGTGTAGTTATTCTCTTCTCTTGTCTTACCAGATGCTACTTAACCTATTTGTCATGAGGATGAGCAGGATGAAGCAAACTACTTTATGTTCAGAATAGGTTCTTCCAGTAGGGTGAGTGCGGCTTCCAAAAATAAAGGAGAGTAGGAAGGAAGGTAAGAAAAGGAAAGAAAATAAAAGATAAAAGTAGTGCAGAAGGTATTCTCAAAGTATCTTCTGCTGTGTTTAAAATGGGTACACAGGCTATGTGAAGGGAAAATGTGAATAAGCAAAGCTGGTACCTACATGATGCCAGCAGAGTAGACAAACCCCAAACAGTAAAACCTGTTTTGAAAAAACTGGTTGGTTGACGTTATGTAATTAGTTCATCTTCTTTTACATTTTATTGATACTGTCATTAATTTCCCATTAATGTTCCTTTCTTGGCTTGTATAACTTTAGAGTTGCAGTGAGAGCTTAAAAAAAGAATTAATAAGAATAAAGTTGGTTTTGTTTTATTTTTTTCATTTTCAAATAATTTCAAACTTACAGAAAATCTGCATGAATGAATTTAATAAATTTGCATGAATAGTATTGTGGACTCCTGAATATACTTCTCCCAGAGACCCGATTCAAGTTTTGCCAGTTGTTCTCATAATGTCTTTATAGTAAAAAGGTCCCGTTCAGGAGAAGACATTACACTCCATTGTCTGCCATGTCTCTCTACCTTCTTTTAGTCTGAATGAGTTCTGCAATCTCTAGTTGACTTTCATGACCTTGACATTTTTGAAGGTCAGTTATTCAATAGAAGTTCTCCAAATTTCTGTTGTCCGATGTTTCCTCTTGATTAGAACCAGGTTATAAATTTTAGAGAAGTGACGTTGTGTTTTTCTCATTGCATTTGATTAAGTGACATATGATATTGATTTTTCCAATTACTGGGAGTGTTAACTTTGATCACTTCATCAGATAGTGTCTGTTAGGTTTCTCCACTATAACATTAACTTTTTTTCCCTTTGTAATTAAACATTTTGTAGAAAGATACTTTGAAGCTCTGTAAAATTCTGTTTCTCATCTCACTTTCATCCACTAATTTTAGCATTTATTGATGTCTTGCTTGAATTCCTTTTGTATTTATTACTTGGCATTCTAATTTAAGAAATAATCTCTTACCCAATCTCTTAACTGTTTATCTTCTTCCCATTTACCTATTTATTTATTATATAATTGTGGATTGATGGGTTCCTCTTTATGCAGTGGATTATAATCCCATTATTCTCATTACTTATTTTTATGCTTAAGTTTTTCCAGATTTGGTCAGTAGGAGCTCCTTCAAGGTGGCTCCTGGATTATTTGCTCATGTTCTCATTGTTTTTCTGAGAACTTTCTTACCTTCTGACCCAAGATGTTCAAAGCTCCTTATTCTTCCCTTGTTCTACTTTTAGAGTCTCAATAAACTCTTGTTTCTTACAGTGGAAAGATGCATTTAGAAATCAAGACCAGGCGTTAAATTTGCTCAGTGCTGCTCAGGCATTGTTGCTCCCAGGTTCCTTCAATGAATACATACAGACAGACCCTTAAATCCATGTTTATTTACATGTCATATATACTTATATATCCACTCTTCCAACTGCAATCTAATACCACATCATTCACCTCAACTTTTCCTCTTTCCATGTTTGTACCTTCTCCAGCATTAGGAAAGTGGACTCCCTGTGAGGAGCCAAGCATCTGATTCTACCAGGTCTCTGCCCTGCTCAGCAGCCCTCCCTCCATAGACCCTGACTCCCGTCAAACTGCCTTCATGCCCACTCCAGCTCCCAGTTTGTATGGACCCTGACACTCACCGGCACCCTTTCAATGGAAAGAAAGAAAAGCAAGCATTGGCATCATTTTCTAACTGACCTTTCTGCATTGGCTGCCTATTTAGGCATCACGTAAACATAGTAGTGAATTGGTAGCAGTGTTCTTAAAACAGCCGAGTTATAGCATGTGAGTATTTTATTTATTCAAATTCAACTTAATTAAAATACTGAAAATATTGTAAGATGGCACATACTTTCTATGCACATCAATATATAAATGTTGCTGTATAGGAATGGATCTGCAAAATCATGGTTTAATGCGAAGTGTACACAGTTTAGGAATTTTTTTTTCAAGTGCAAATTTGACATTAGGTACTTCTTACCTTATATGCTGATTTCAAAATCTAACTCTTCTGTCAAGTATGACTCTATCGTACAGCCTAAATTGTTTCAACATTTAGTTGAATTATTTCTCCAGGAGAACCATCATTTGGTTTCCAACAAGGAAGCTGAGAGGATCACACACTGATTCTAGAATACATTATTTATTCAGGAAAAATGATGCAGTTCTTTTTGGTAGAAAATCCTCTCTAAAATGTAGATTAATGCTCTGGTGACAAGTTTCTAGGCTAGAGCTAGGGAAGAGTAGGGTCTTGGCTGTGGGATCAACTCCAATAGAGTGGCTCACTGGGAGCAACTGGACATGGGAGCAACAACACCTGAGCAGCAATGAGCAAATTCAATGCACAGTCTTGATTTATAAATGCATTTTTCCACTATAAGAAATAAGAGTTTATTGAGACTCTAAAAGTAGAACAGGGGAGGAATAAAGTCAAAGGAGGCCAAGCTGAAGAGCACCCTTATCAGGTATGCAACCAAAAGAGTGCTGGGCAAGGAAGAGGACACAAGCTTTAAATGAGAGAAGGGAGTAGTAAGGGCCAAGAAGCTGATGATAAATACGACCAAATGGAGCCTTCATTCATTCGAAATATGCATATGAAGAACAGTATGTCTCAGAATCTTTGCTTGCTCTGTGGATACAGAAATGAACATACGTGTTTCCTGCCCTCTAAGAAACTTTCATTCTAGTAGAAGAGAATCATGCCAATAGTTACAAGGTATCTCAAGAGTCTTGCTACAGTCTTTAGATTTGTGAATTTTGACAGCCGTTGGTAAATTACTTTCCATAAGGCTTATACCAAGTTATAGAGTTGGAAGTCATTACTAGATACTACTTTTTACAGCCCTTTCACACAGTATTTTATGTATTTGAAAGGTACAGTTTAAGAAAGATTTAGATTAAAATTTTAGATATTTCCCCTCCCCCACCTTTCTTTCCTCTTCTTGAGATGTTAAGTAAGTATGAAGGAAGTAGATAATGATTTTCTGAGAAAAAGTCAAAGTGCTTACTAGTTGTATTTTCCCAGATCTTGATGGTACTGGACTGGACTCCAAAGGGTATAGAAAATTATCTTTCAGTTAAAGCACTAACTTTCATTTAGTGTTCATCAACTACACAATTTTAGAACAGCTTTTGAGTAAATGAACGTTATTAAGTTTAGTGTAAAGTTGTCTGGACTTTACAAAACCAGGCAGTCACAACAAACTTTTCTGCAGGTGGAAATGTGGCTGGCAGCGACATATTTGAGGATTTAAATAAATGATAAATTACTCTTGGTGATTATAAATAATAAGCAATGCTATCTGTGATATTTACCTACTGCAGAAGTTTGGCTTTTGAAAATGGAATTCAGCTCCTTTCCCTTTACTTTTAGATATTTATTGTTCATTAGTGAGCTCTCTTTTATAGCTGCTAGTGGACCTTCTTTTGCTGCTGACATGCTTTCAGTTCCATAGAGTTTGTGGGCAAAACGGTATTAGAAAAGCAAGTAAATCATCCTGATGTTCTATATATTACCTTGGCAAATAATTCTTTGGGCAAGAGCTCTAGACTAATAAATGAGAGCATGTGGATAATTTAGAATTGTTTCTTTTTTAGAATCAATAGCCTGGGAATTGAAAAATTCAAAGTGCTCTTCCATGGCATTATTGTTTGAATTAATTTTTTACAAAACAATTTCAGTTCATTTGGAACTGACTCTGTGTCTCTTCAATTTGCACTCCCAAGAAAGAACTGAAGAACATTGAACTTTGGAAAAAATTTAATAAAGTCAGTTCACAATAGAACACCAGAAGATAAAGTTCCTCAGGCCTAATTCTTTTAGAATTGTGGGAACAGACAGGAGGTGAAGATCAGCAGCTGTCCATCCATCTACAGAGCAGAAGCTCCCCTCTCAGGCTGGCAGTAGCAGGCAAAGACTGGTGAAGTGAGACTGAGGTCAAGACTACAATTCGTTCTCTTGTTTTAATGCAATTTCAACTAGCTAATATGTACAAGGTGTTTCAGGAGCATTAACATTTTGAGCCTTAGGCAATCAGATCTGAAGGCTCATTCTGTTTGATTCATAATGTGGATTATATTTTATAATGTTGCTAAGACTTGATTATTTGCACATCCTAGAGGGTATAGCTCCTGCTCTGAACATTTAAAAGGAAACTGCTATAGAACATTGAACATTAAACAGAAATCTACTATAGGTAAATCTCATAGAAATAGAAAAAGTCTATAAGCCTAGTGTTAGAATTAAATATTTGGATGATTCTCACATCAGCAGTTTAATTTGACTATCTTGGTAACCACTGAAAATGAAGGAGTGGCACAAAGAGCTACTGGTGCATTTTATAACACTGCAGGTTAGCATAGTGATAACACTTTTATTCAGACTATATAGAAACATGAACATTCGTCTCTCATCTACTTGCAACTACATCTTTACAGATAGATATAAAGACATATATACAGCCAAATAAGACACAATGATCACAGAAAGTGTTTGTAAACATTAATGTTAACTTGTAGACGTACATTGATTTGAAACAAATCCTTTACTTTAAATAGCTTTGATTTTCTGTCTAGAAGATGAAAGAGAACATTAATAGCCATCACATATGAAGTTTACCTAGTTGAATGTTAGCACTTCTAAAAATGAATCAGTATTCTTTTCCACATTGAAAGATTAAATGAATAAATAATTTCTTGAAACTGAAAATGAAATTCTCAGAAATATCAAGAAAATCTTTAGTGCGGTCTCATTTTAAGAAAAATCAAAGAGAGATCATAAAAACCATATTATATTAAAAAGGCTATTGTTATATAATGTAACCCAATTAATTGGGATCTGCTTAATTTGAAACATGTATCAGAGTAAAGGTAAAATGTGTTTTGCTTCTGGTAACTTGTTTAAAAAACCCCATGTAGTTAACAAGAATAAAAATGAGAAGAGGATAAAATTTATCCCAGGAATTGTGTGCTGAGGTATCACGTATTTGCACATAGTTCAGTCCCCATTGCCCCCAAAACTGTATGTGTTCAAGAGGTTTTCTGGAGGGTCTTATGCAGAAGTATGTTCAACTTAAACTGAAGGAAGACATACTCTCACTATCAAAGCTAAAGTTGAAGCATGGGGGTGGGGGAATGGTCAAAACTTTTTCACGGTCTCCAGGTTAAAAAACACACTTTCTCTACTGTGTGTGCATGTTTTTTTTGTTTTTGTTTTTGTTTTTTGGTTCAACTCTAAAAACAGGACTTGTTCAGTGACAGCCACATAAAGGTTAAATGGAGGATTATAGATTAAATGTTACCATTCTAGTGTATCTTTTAATTTGCTCCTATACCAAATCCATAGGAAACTGTATATATATGTCAGAATGTCATGGACAGATTGATGTATCAATGGGTATAACAATTAAAATGCATTTTCTGAATTGGAAAGTGTAATACATTGCTTTTAGACACAAAGCATAGTATTCGCTCATTAAGAATAACTAGGGAGTTAAATTCTAGGGTTTCTGCAGTCTTACTCATGGTATTTGACTGCCTTGGTTCTATAATCGGATTTTAGCAAGCCTATAAAAATACTTAAAATTTTTTTGTTGTTGGTGGTGTGCTTCCAGCATAGATAATGGATAGCTTATGACATTCAGGTTATAGGTCAAATCTGAGGCCTTATTGCATATCCGGGGAAAATTACTTTTTGAGTAACATATAGTACAACCTTCAACTCTTAATAGGGCAGGAGGAGTTCAGAGCAAACACTTACACATTCAAAGTGACCAGATTACATATGATTTCTACTTGTTCTGAAATGACTCCATAAATACAATTTAAAAATTTATTTCTCCACCACAACACACAAAAATGTAGCAATAAATTCTAACATGTTCAGGTGAAACCATTCCTTTTCACTTGGCTATTCAAAAGATTATTATAACATGTCTAATACATGAAGAAGGTTTGGGAACCTGTAACATTTCCTGTGTGTCTCAATTAAAAAAGATATTTCAACACACTATACTGACTTTTCCTTATTCCCTTGTAAGTGCAACATAATTAAAAACCAAACTGAGTAAGGTAACTCAATGCAAATTCAATCTGATGTTAGAAGTAAGCTGCATATGAGACTAAATCAGATACAGGAGCTTTTTCTAAAACAGGACTAAACAGTGTTTCAAATCACCTAGAATCAATTATCATGGGACACTTGTAGAAATGATGATACTGAGTTAAAAAACATTTTTTTTATGAAAAAATCACAAGTCAGAGCTTGCCACTTATGTTATGCAAGATAAGTTTGATGATCTTGTAAATGAATATCGATTTCTGTGCAGATTCCAATATTTCTAATCTATGAGAAACTGTTCTGGGATTCAAAATGGCCAACTTCAGAATCTTCTTGTGAAGTGGTTGCTTCTCTGAGAAAACAAACAAAATTTCCTCACATGTGAATTGTATCACATTTCTTTGTAAGTCTAACTTTAATACAAGCACAGTTAAAAACCTAAAAACCTTCCAAACCCTATATATGTATTGTTACTGGCTGACCCACAAGGTGGCACCAAAGAGAAAAGTGACAAAAGTGAAGATCACAGGCAAGTTAGATATTACATCAATTCTATTATGAGAATTAAATTTATTTCATAAAGTGATACCAAATTTTAATATGCTGATAACCCAAAACAGTCATCTTTAGGTTCATTGTTTTTTTTTTTTTTTAATAGAGACTGTTCTAGATCCAAAAGTTTCATTCTGTCAAGCAGCTGGCTATTTTCAAGAATTAGTAATTGAACTTTTTGTGTAGTTATTTTGTAGGAAAGTTATATCTCTTTCCAGATACAGATTCCATGATTATTATTTGGTTATAAACTCTGTTTCTCTTTTATCTTTTGTATAGTGCCTAGTGCTTAATGTTGTTAATATAAATGTAAAAGAAAAGACCCAACATATTTAACTTTATAATACAAAGCATACTAACATATTTAGATTTAGTATTTGTAATTATAGCATACAAATAAATTTTTTAATGACCAAGAAAAAGCCATTTTAGCCAAAGTCTAATTGTTTGAACTTCAGGACTAATTCTTGGATCCCCAAATACATTTTTCACCTAACTTTCAAGGCACCTGGAGAGTAACTTCAGAGCCTATATAGGGATGTGAATGGGACAATATACTCTCAGGAAAACATGTACAGAGAAAGAAAAAATGATATGATGCTGGTGTAGCCTTGGTGTGTAACCCTGAAATTAAAGAGGTTTCTTATAGCGTCATGAAGGATTCTTATAGTGTCATGTGTTGGAAGAAACTGGTAGTTTTCTAGCAAACATCTCTGAATATAAGCAACGAAAAGGCATGGATCCCCCCTCCCCCAAAGAAGAGCTATTTTTCAGTTCACGATTAAGAAAATATATTATTTATGTACAGATCTAGTACCTGAAGAAAAAAATCAGAATACATCTTTTTTCCGTAGTTTGAAAGTAGGAATTCAGTGAGGTTTTAAAATAAAACAATTGTAATTATTGTTGTATATTTGCTATATATACACATATTGTGATCTATTCTCTAACAGAAGGGGTGTTTCTCATGTTAACATGACTGTATCTTTGACCAGAATCCTCACTTAGCAAAACTATATATATTTTATATAATGTTATATATCATTAAAAATAAAAAAACACTGTAGTTCAAAATTAGGTTTTAAATTTTATATACAGCTATATGACCTCAATACTAGTGATATTTCATTATCTAAAGGAAAAATTTCACCATATTTCTTCCAATGTCTCTTCATCAACCCATTTATAATAATCACTTGTTACTCAGATTCAAGAAAATACTGTAATTACCTCATTTAAACAGCTATATTGATAAACATGTATGTAGTAAGCAGAATCTATCTGTAGTAAGCAAAGTTTTTAAATGATAAACAATATTTTATTATTAAATGAAAGAATGGGAAATAAATGATTGGAAGACAGAAAAAAGTACGTGGACTAGAAGATACATGTGGATGAAATAAAGCAGGAGATGTCTTTACGTGACTTTACATTAATATTTGTCTATTGTGCCTTTGAAGCAGATACTTTTCATGGTTTGAAATAGGTGAGGCACCATTCAAATTATGTAAATTTGTGCTGTCAAATAAGCCTGGGTTAAATATATATTTTTGGATTCATTGAAGAGGTAAGATTCCTAAAGCATGTAAACTGCTTATTCTGCAGTATGAAAATAAGCTATAGTCAACTCTTTCAATTACTTAGTTCTCAATCCAGGAGTAATAATGTTGTCGAGTTTTCTTTTTATCATTATCTTACAAAATTATAATTATTTATCTGTTCAGGGTCATACTAGATTATTCTCTATTCATTTATTCAACAAACACATAGCACTTATCATGTACTAGGCACTGTCCTCTCCAAGGAGAGTATAGACCAGGCATGTTTGCTTCAGTGATACATCACTAGCATAGTGCCTGGCACTGACTTCATAATTTATGTAGCAAGTATTCATTATGCAATTGGATAGTTCATATTTGGCTTATCTTTCAGGAAGGAGTATGACATAAAGGTTAAGTGTAAAGGTAATGAAATGACCTGCTGGCTTTGAATTCCAGCTCTGCCATCTACTAATTAAATGACTCTGGCCAAGATATTTAATCTTTTTTAGCCTCAGTTTCCTGATTTGTCAAGTGGAAGAAATAATAGCATTGACCTGAAGGCAGTGATTTTCATGATTACATAAGACAGCATAAAATGCTTAGACAAATACTTGGCACAAGTTAAGCCCTTTAAAAATCTTAGTGATTATTATTATTTTCATTAATTCTTCCTGCCATATTTATCTGGAAACGTGGATGTGAGCAATTTAAGTTCATGGTACCAATTATAGGAGTATATTCACTATTTCAATTTCTTGAGTGACTAGACAAATTAACTAGTTCAATGGAAACATTTCCGGAACAATACTTAATTTCTATTGTTTGTAGACTTTGGTCTATATTATGTTTGCATGTTTCATGAACAAATTGTAAACATTTCCATGATATATACTTTGCCTTTTTATAGAGCTTTCTTATAGAAGTCATAAACCAAAGAGTCTAGAGTGAATGCTAAAGCGTTTTAACCTAGCATTAGAGCCCCTCAAATAATGATATAACTTTCTTGAGATACTAATTCTCTCTTTGGATATAACATGTAATGCTAAAATTGGAAATGACACTTGAATTATTTGGTCACTCTTTTCCTTACATTTGCTCTTTAGAGATATCCATTTTATGCTGTGAGGCTTGTTCTAGCTTGGTATAAACATACTCAGGAGACTTTTCTGGGACTAATAACACACAGTATTATATTAATAGGTTAGGAAATATTTCTGTTAAAAACAACTTCAAGTACGAGGCTGCAATGAGCTCTTATCACACCATTGCACTCCAGCCTGGGCGACAGAGTGAGACCTAATCTCTAAAATAAATACAATAAAAAGTAAAAATAAAAAATGAAAAAAGATAAAAACAAATTCATGGTTTCACAGGTTTTTATGAGGTAAAAAGATATAATCAAATTTAGATGTAAATTCCATTTAGATTAATCCTTTCAAATAACAAGTCAGACAATTAACAGTTAAATGAAGGTGTTAATTGTTGTGACAAACTACAGAAATCATGAAATTTCACTATCTCAATTATAGTTAATTTTAAATAATTCTTTCCTCATCTTCAAGATCTTGAGGAATGTTCTGTCTGGAAGGGTAGTTCTTATATGAAACCCCACAACAACATCAACAGATCAGTGGGTCAAATGTTATAAAATTTTGAAAGTTTGCAATATAAAAATATTAATAAACTTTGCAGTAATGTTAATTGCTCTAAATTAAACATTTCATCAAATGATCAGTTTCAAATTTCAAACTGCTGTTTTGCTATTGCCACATGGCGGCACCACTTCAGCTGCTAAACAGAAACTTCACCATTCTTTTTTCATATTGGTTTCCAGTTGAGGGAGGTCTTCAGAAACATATCCCTCTCATATGATACATCAGCCTAGTTTTGACTGCCAGAATAGTAAGATTTGTTTGTTTCCCCTGTACTTTTTCTAGTACAGTGTGCTTTTATAAAATTTATTTACCCATTAAAGTTTTAGTTTTTAATTGAATTATTTTTTTGCTTCTCATGAAGATTAATTAAATATTTTTTGAGAACATAAAGAGGGTAGTATATTAGCTTCTGTATATTTTTCACAGAAGTCCAGAGCAGAAAGATACCCCCAAATCTAACTCCTTTACATTAACACATTGAGAAATTGAGTCCATTAAGTAACTGGGTTAGGACAATGGAGGAAGATGAAGGTGATCAGGATCTAGCTCTTTCTCCCGAGCCAAGCTGTTTCTGGACATGAGGTTTTACTCACATGTGAAGAGACTGAGTACCCAAGGACACCTAACTATGTGCTTCTATATACCACCCAGTGTGAAAAGAAAAGAAAAAAAGGCAGTTAAATTGTACACAATCAAAGAGTAAGACCCTGAAGCCAATACATTCACTGAAGATAGTTCATTTTGATCATTTCAGGACCAAGGTGTAGATTTTATTAAAAACAACTTCTGTTTGGCCTCATGTATATTAAATATTCAGATAATTTTTACTTTTACAAGCCCCTGAATCAAATATGGCCACATCATGACTTTAGTGATATTTATTAGCTAAATAAAGTAATCATAAAATTCTCCTAACGAATAAACATGTTTCTGAGAGAAGCATCAGGTACTTTGGGAAGTTTAATTTCCTTGTTTACAGCACCACATGGCTCTAGTACTGGCAAAATCAAACCTATCTCGAATCCAGTGACCTATAACACTGAAAACAACTTTAAAAAGGAATATTAGTAAATTATGTCTTCAATATTTTTCTGAGATACACACTCTGAAATTTCACCCCTCTACTTTTGCTTTGAAGGTAGAATGAACATTCTGTAGAAAAATAATATTTAAAAATTATTTTACTAAAGTGCTTGCTTCTTTGGGAAAGTGTGCTATATACTTTCAGAAATTAAAAAAAGAAAACTCACTGAAAACCTTTGTAACACTGATATGAAAGGAGGAAGTATTTACCTATTTGATCCTGATAGTAAGTTTTATTATGCAAAGTTACATTTAAGGGGAATCCATGAGCTAGTAAGAAATATTTGAGACTTTCCTGGTAGTAATTTTCTTTTTTTTTTTTTGGTAGTAATTTTCAGAAGTACATACACACGCTGATAAAATACAAAGAAGAATAGATGGAGGTAAAGAGAGGAAAGAGATAACAGACTGAGACCATGAGTGAGGGAAAGGGGAAAGATGAAGAGAACTGGGTTAAAGGGTACAAACATACAGTAAGACAGAAGGAATCTAGCTGTTCAATGTTTGACAGCAGAATAGGGTAACTATACCTTGCAAAAATGCATTATACTCAGGTGATGGACACCTTAAATACCCTGACTTGATCACTACACATTATGTGCATGTAACAAAATTTCTCATGTATCCCACAAATTTGTACACATTTTTTAAAAAAGACAAACAGAAAAAGCCTTCTTTGAATCTTTTCTTGACTAATGTTTTAGAAAGAGAAAGTCTTAAAGATCCCTTAGTGGGTAACTTCTTCCTTTAGGCAGTGGTTCTTAGACTCCTGGGGAGGATTCCAGAAGCCTCTGATAAACAAATGCACTAAATCCATGGATATTGGATCAGTAATACTGAATTACCAGTTTAAAACCCTAAAGTCAGAGAAGTCTGGTGACCTGCTGAGGATCTCAGGGCTCCTCTTACTTGCTTGCACTATAGTTCCTGATTCTGTGAAAACAAACCAAGGAACCCCAACTCTTCAACTCTTAAAATGCATATAGCCAGATGCATATGGACAGCAAGAGCACAGACATTTAAAAACAGAGCAGAAAAAAGTAACTTGAACAGAATGTGGCATTTCCCTTGGTCTGTTGCTAACGGCCCACATACAACATGCTTAAAAAATCCCACCCTGGCACTTATTTTCATCATCATTTAAAAATGATTCAAATGGACATTTAGAATGCATGGCATGAAGCATGTATCCCATCTGGGGATAAATGAAAAAGGGCTTCCTCGAGCAGGGCTGTGTTTTTAGTGGTTATCAGGCTAAGGTTAATGTGTAATCGGTCTCTTTGGTCAAGCTTTTAAAGGCAAACACAACATTTTTATTGCCTATTTTCAGTACTCCAAAGCCAGAAGCATTAACTGTTTCTTTTTGTAAGAAAATAGCTATAGACATGATTTGTAAAATGCCTTCAAGATTTGAAGACATGAAAGAAACATGTAAAAAGGAATTACCTCATTTTCCTTCTATTATTCACTTTTTTAATTAACCCATAAGCCAATCACACTTTGTTTTATTAAACACTGAGGACTCCTGCTTCTTAGCTGTCACCTTTGGGATGGCCGTTTTCTGAATATTGTTCCAATTAGAGTTCTTCACACAAATTCTGAGGGTTGGATATCCTACATATTTATACATACTCTGCACTATAATTTTAAACTCCAATATACTCAGACAAGAGTCCATAACCAGCCAATGGGCTATGAACCTATTTTGATGCTGCCTACTGTCAGCAAACTGTCTATTGATAACTATCCTAACAAAGTTTAAACAATGTTCATGGTAACACTGGAAAGCTGCAAGAAAGTAATTATGGCTAGGTGAAATGAAAAACTGACCAATCATGGAATGTATTCGTTTACTGTTCTACTAAGCTCATAGCCCAGCTTTTCTCAGTCTCAAGCTTTTGGTCCTGAATGTTACACTGTAGGCATTGTGTTTTAATCATTTCCCCAACCTAAAGATGGAAATTATCCTATGGGGAAAACATCACCTTGCTTTGGCCTTTACTTCCGGAGGATTTTAATGCTTCATTGCTAACCATTATTTTAGTACTGCACACCTGGACACATCGCACAGTATAATGTAATGTATGCAGTCAGGTTTTGGAGAATTTATTTCAATTTACATACAATCCTCCAAATCCTCTGGCGAGCTTGATGTGAAATCTGACACAGCCACATCTCCCTAGCAGGATCTTCTTTTGCTCTCTATGCTAATAGCCAAAGGCTCCTAGGATCTCTCCGTGGAGCGCGGTGGGGCTAAGGAGTCAGGAAGAGGGGTGACTGTGGGGCTTGTTGCGCTAAAGATTTACAATGTACTTCTTGCAGGCGGCTCAGCAACCCCCTCAGTGGCTGTGGGTGTCTGGTGTGACAGAGCGGAGAAAAGCTCTCTAATCTCCCAGTGCCTGCCTCTGCCGCTCAGTCGCTCCCCTCCCTCCCGCCTTTCCTGCCTCCTCGCGCGCTCTCTCTCTCCTTTGCCTTTCTCGGGGAGTTTCAGTCCCTCAATGCAGCTGGAGTAGCCCTGGCAATCTAAACCCGGAGCCCGTGTATATACACACACGCACACACGCACACACACATGCACACGCGCTCGCACATACGCACTTCGGCTCTCCCCCTGGGGATATGGAGCAAACCCAGAGCTTCATCTACCTGAAGGGGATGGCCCGGCCGGACACTTCTTTCTCACTTGTCATCTCCGGAGGGCAGAGCAAGACTGGAATGAGGCAGGCTCGCTGTCGGGTCTGCAACCTCCTGCTGTTTGCCGCCACCGCCGCTTAAAGTGCCCAGGGTGGAGAAGGCTTTTCCAGGACAGATCTCCGCCGTAGCTTCGCGGCCCTAGGACTTCCTCCTGCTGGTTCACTCTAGTCTCTCCCACCTCGGCCATCCTTTCCTCTCCAGCTGCAGGGTGTATGGCTCGGGTGCCTCCAGTGCTGTGGCAGCCGTCACTGCCGCTGAGAGCACATTCCACCCAGAGGACTGAACGCCGCCGCTGGAGTGGGGGGAGAAAGCGGAAGCCCTAACTTCCCTCTCTACACCCTCGCTCTTCCCACAGCTCCCGTCCTTCTCCCCAGGACCGGTTGGAAGGCTCCCGCGGAAAGCGAGGCGAGAGCGCGGCGCAGGGGAGGGAAACCCGGGAGCCGCAGGCGCGCAGGGGCGGGGGCAGCCTGTGCCCCGGCGCAGGGTGCTCGCCCGAGAAGTAGCGCGCGCTGGGCAAGCAAGACGCTTTCCAAGTTAGGCGCGTCCCAGAGCTCGCAGCCCGGCGCCTCGGCAGCCAGTGTCCGGAGTGAGGCGGGGCTGATGGGGGTCGCGAAAGCTGCCGTCGCTTGTGGCCAGAACCCGTCTTAAAAGAACCCGGGCCAGCATCCCCAGTCGCGCGCCCTCGGCCCGCGTGCGCTCTCGGATGCCTGCTCTGGGGGTGGCCCGCGCGGCCCGCCCGCGGGGGGTGCCGGAGGGGGCGGGGGAGGAGGAGGAGGCGGTGTGATGGCCCTGGACGGCGAGCTGAGGGAGCAAGAGGAGGAGAAGAAAAAGAAGAAGAAGAAAAAGAAGAGGAAGAAGAAGAAGGAGGAGGAGGAGGGGCCCGAGAAGAGCAGCTCACCCTTCGCGGCCAGAATGGGGGAAGACGACGCCGCGCTTCGGGCTGGCGGCAGGGGGCTCTCCGACCCGTGGGCAGACTCAGTGGGAGTGCGACCCCGCACCACGGAGCGCCACATCGCGGTACACAAGCGGCTTGTGCTAGCCTTCGCCGTGTCCCTCGTGGCACTGCTCGCGGTCACCATGCTTGCCGTGCTGCTCAGCCTGCGCTTCGACGAGTGCGGGGTGAGTGCCACGCCAGGCGCCGAAGGTGGCCCCGCAGGCTTTCCGGAGCGCGGCGCCAACGGGAGCCTCCCCGGATCGGCCCGGCGCAACCACCACGCGGGCGGGGACTCCTTGCAGCCTGAGGCGAGTGGGGTGGCCAGTCCGGGGACCCCGTCGGCCCAGCAGCCGTCGGAGGAGGAGCGGGAGCCGTGGCAGCCGTGGACGCAGCTGCGCCTGTCGGGCCACCTGAAGCCGCTGCACTACAATCTGATGCTCACCGCCTTCATGGAGAACTTCACCTTCTCCGGGGAGGTCAACGTGGAGATCGCGTGCCGGAACGCCACCCGCTACGTAGTGCTGCACGCTTCCCGAGTGGCGGTGGAGAAAGTGCAGCTGGCTGAGGACAGGGCGTTTGGGGCTGTCCCTGTGGCCGGTTTTTTCCTCTACCCGCAAACCCAGGTCTTAGTGGTGGTGCTGAATAGGACACTGGACGCGCAGAGGAATTACAATCTGAAGATTATCTACAACGCGCTCATCGAGAATGAGCTCCTGGGCTTCTTCCGCAGCTCCTATGTGCTCCACGGGGAGAGAAGGTATGGAGGGAGGCGGTGCCCCGCGCCGCCCCACCCCGCCGCGCGGCTCGAACCTCTGGGCGGCCTGCGACCCCGGGGACCCAGCTGGCTTCCAATACTCGGGAAGCCAGGGGTGGGGGAAGGAAACGAAAGCGGGGTAGGGCAGTCAGAACCCCGGGGTCTCCCAGATGCCTTGGGGTCTCACTGCAGCCAACTCCGCAAACTGACTCGCCGGTGCCAGAAGATGAATGCCGCCCCCTCCTCTAGTCAGGACCTCTCCTCTTCCTGTCAAAGTTCCTTAGCCATTGAAACGCAGGGCCCTTTTTTCTGAAGGATAACTGATAATCTGAGCGATGCCAGAGTGACATGAAAAGCTTGCCAAGTTACTGTCGAGGGAAAATACGTGGCGCTGAAGGCCAAGACAACAGCGCATCCAGGTTAGCTTGTCAAGGCAGGTCAGGGACACACCGTTCTCCACCCCTGCCCTCACATGCCCATCTCCCCTGCCTATTAGTAGTCCCCTGCCAGGTGCAGGGCAGAGGATGGGCTTTGGCTGAGTAAACTTTCCCCAAACTTCAAGTTGAGTTTCGGAGTGAAAATAGTGGTTTTCAGAGATAGGCTGAGAGGACCGGGACGGGGGTGGAGGTTGCCAAGGTCAGAGCCAGCTATAAGTGGCCTCGCGGGCGCTGCCAGCTTTGTGCTGAGGCAGGGCGACTCAAGTTGTTTGTTCATGAGTTGCTGCCTCTGGAGATGATTCCAGTGGTCAAGGGTGGGAAAGCTAGTAGTCAGTTTCAAATGCCTTGTTACTATCTTTGGCGCGTTTCACATTTGGGTACTTTGGTATTTTTATATATATAAAAAAAAAATCTGAAAGTCCGTGGAGCTTTTCACCACTTGTGTAGAGCTCAGACTTCATAATCCGATAGAACCGAGTTCGAATCTCTGCTGTTAGTCCAACTGTGGTGAAGGTTTGAAGAAGGTAATTAACCTTTTCCTTTTCTAGTGCTTATTGCACACCCATGTACTCAATCCGACAAGAACCCTATGAGGTAGACGCTATTATCAGCATTCCCTATTTTACGGGCGGGGAAATGGAGGCACAGGTGGGTCACAGAGCTTGACCAAGATCACCAAGAGTGAGCAAAGTACGGATTTAGACCCCGGGAGTTTGGCTCTTGAGCCTAGACTTTTAATTCTAACTTGGGGATACCAATAATAATATTCTGCTTGTAGGATTGGTGTAGACGTCTGTGAGTGAATGCATTACAAAGTACTTACCCCTGTGCCTGGCACATAGAGTATCCACCATAAATGCTAGCTCTCATGAGTGTCTTGTGGCAGTAAGCTCTCAGGTATGTTGTTGAATGAATAAGTGATTCTTGTTCTTTACTCTAACTCCCTCATTGCTAAAATAACTTCGATTAATTAAATGACTATAGGGCAGATGAACAACCAAAGTGAGCTTAAAAATTAAACCAAGAACTTTAGAAGAGGAGGCAGGTTGCAGATCAGTAATGAGGCAGAGCCTCTTCTTTTCTCAGGTGATTCTCACAACAGCAGAAAATGGGTTCAGAGACGCCCAGGGCCCCGGAGGTGAGCAGGCTTGTCAGTGGAGAGCTAGGACTTGAACTTTGGTTCTCTAATCCCTGGACCAGACACAGCTTATGGTGTTTGGAAACTCTCAGAAGAAGTTATTGTGTAAGAGGCTGGGGAAATTGCAATGTGTTGTGAAAGTAAACAAAAGTTTTATTATTTATAGAGTTCTATGAAGTAACCTCCTATAAATAAAATGCCCAATGCTTTAGTAGTTGTATGATAGTTAAAACCTCCTGTAAGTGAATGTATAAATTATTCACTGTCTTACTCCTGACATCAGATATGGATAATTTAAACCCCCTTCTACCACTTCCTCTGACACGTTCTAAATAATACAGATTAAAAATATTTTTTAAACCCAGAATTATATCAAATTTGGGGGAAAGGCATAGAAAACAAATTTGCATACTATGTTTAGGAACAAGCTTGTTATGTCAAAATGTCAATAGTGGGAGTTGCATATCATTACTGACGCATCTTGCTGTGGTGAAATGAATGCTTTCGACAAATCCCGTTTTTTGAGCCATGCCAAAATATGTTTGGCAGAACTGAGCTTGTTTTGGTCAATGCTTTCAAATTAACAGGACTCTTAAAAAGACCAGATGTTTCTGCTTGACCCGTAACTGATTTCTTGTAACCCTAGTGCATATTTATATTCAAACTCTATCTTGCAGTTTTCCTCAAAGAAATAAATAACTTGGTTGGAAGTTTAACCTAGTTCACATATAGTTAAACTCATCATCCCAATAGAAATGCAGAACACAGTGTTTTGAAAATCCCAGGATTGTTTTATTTCTATACAGCATCTTAGAGGAAGTCTTTGTTCCTCATTTTTTTTTCATTCCTCATTATTATTACTAGAGTAAATCTCATAATTTCTTGGATGTTTCTACTGGAGTTGATAAAGCAAAAGAAATAAATCTAATAAAGCATTTCATAGTTATATAAACTTTCTATTTATTAAACTTTTTTTGTTACTATAGCTACTTGGAGCATTTTTAAAGAGACCCTTATCAGCATCTCAGCTAGGGTTGGACTTTGGTGATGATTTTGTCCACAAAATGCAATGTAAATTGACATTCTAAAACCCACTTTCAAGTAGGACACAGATGTGAACACTGAATTTTCATTTGATTAATGATTAAAAATTTTGGTCTTTAGTTAGATATAATTTTGCCAATTTAATTATAGGATAATTTCTGTGATAAAAACAAATATTTAATCTGATAAAGGAAGTCATATTGAGCAAGTTGAAATGCTTAAAAGAGCAATACTACAATACAGTTCACTTCTCAGCCTATGTGGAAATACTAACTCATTAAAATCCTATCAGTCTGATTCTTCAACTTGCTTCTCAGAGGCCTGAGCAAAATAATTTTGGCGACAGCAGGGAAATTAGATTCCACTGTGTGCTATATACCTTGGACCTCTGGAAGGTTTTATCCCCTGCTGGGTGTCGTAGGTAGCCTGGCTTTGTACAACTGGGAAGACTTGCTTTTCCTGATTTCCATACTGTACTGTACAAAGGTTAGAAGACAAGCTCCCCCCGTGAAGCCGAAGGCTTCCCAAGTTGAGACAAATTCTCTACCCTTGGTTCCTACAGTTGTTGAATATTGAAAATAAATTCTCTTAAAATCAACATGTTTACACACCAAGAAGTAAATTAAGCAGAATACATACTCACTTTTTCATCAACTAGGTGTGCAGCAGGCAGATAAAAATGGGTATGTATTTATGCTGTAGTCTTCGACAGGAGAGTATGCTTGCTTAGAATTAGGTAAAATGTTCATTTACCTGAAATAATTGCCACTTTTGGGTAGCCAGATGGTGGGCACACCCATGTTCAAAGTAGGGTACCTTAATTTAGATCCAGATGGTGGGATTGAAAGGGAAATATAGCCAAGATAAAGAACATTTTATTCACTTTCAAAAGGGAAGCTGTTTTTCTTTGACCAACTTTGATAGGGTCTATAACATGCCAAAGTGAGACGATGTTAAAAATAGGAGGTCCTTTTCTATAAAGGATTGTTTAGAGAGAAACGATAGTCTCCAAGTAAAATGGGAAAATAATAGTGATAGTTCTTAAAGAGAATTGGGACCATCCTTTTGCAAAAATCTTGGGGAGAGAATGGAGGATTTTATCTCTGGGTAGGCATTTGCTCTACTGTGGTATTTCTGTGATCCGATGCCTTGTAATCTTCTGGGAATGAATTAATACTCATGGTATTTAATACAAACAAGACATTCACTACATTATTTTTAGATTGAAAGCAGCTTCACTTCTCCCATTCACTCTGGTAAGAAGATAGCTTAACATGAGCAAGTAGGAGTATATCGCTTTTTGTCCCTCTATAGAGGACTGAGAACTGAAAAAATCTTTGAGAACCATTTGTTTCTGTGAAAACTTTTTTCTATGATTCCTTAATGGACTTAGCTCATTGTTTTTGTGTCAGGCTCACATAACCATATGGCAAAACTCAGTTCAGTGCTGGATTTTGAACACAATTCAAAATGCTACCAGTAAACTATATCTAGACAATGTTTACTAAAAAAAAGCTCTGACCATTTAATAATGACTCACTCAGGGAGAAAATTTATGCAATTGGTGTTTGTCTTGCTGTGTTTCCTGTAGTGCCATTCGATTTTATCACCCTGGATAGTAATTAAATGTACAGTTTTTTTCAAATTATTTTAATTGACATAAAATTGTATGTATTTATCATGTATAACCTAATGTTTTGAAGTATGCATACATTTGGAACAAATTAGTTAATTAACAAATGCATCACCTCATATAGCTATTTTTGTGGTGAGAATATTTAACATCTACTCTCAGCAGTTTTCAAGAATATAATATATTGTCATTAATTATAGTCATCTTGCTTTACAGCAAATCCCTTGAACTTATTCCTCTTATCTAAGTAATTATATATCCTTTGACCAGCAACTCCTCAACTCCATTCTTCCCCTAACCTCTTAGTATCTGGTAAACATCATTCTACTCTCTAACTCAATGAGGTCAACTTTTTTAGATTCCACATATGACTAAGATCATGCGATATTTGTCTTTTTGTGCCTCGCTTATTCACTTACATGAAGTCTTCCAGTTCCTCAGTGTTGTCTCAAATGACAGGATTTCCTTCTGTTTGTCTGAATAGTATTTCCTTAGTGTATGAATACATTTTCTTTATACATTCATTCATTGATGAACTCTTAGGTTCCTTCTGTATATTGGCTACTGTGAAGAATGCTGCAATAAACATGTTGCAGATATCTCCTCAACATGATGATTTCTTTTTCTTTGGATATATAATCCCCCAGTAGTGGGATTGCCAGATCATGTGGTAGTTCTGTTTTTAATTTTTTGATGAACCGCC